CCTCAATTATTTCTAGAAAATATTCTTATTAAAGTGTTCACGATACATTTACCCAACAAATCAATAGCATAAAAAATAGAAAGGGAGACTGTTAACAAAAGATTTAAGAGATACATTAAATGTGTGCACCTTGTTAGGGTCCTCCTTCATACAAATGATCTGTAAAAAGATATTTTTGAGAAATTAGAATGTGGACTGGGTATTTTTGATGTTAAGGAATTAGTGCTAATTTTATTGTGTCATAATGGTACAATGGTTATGTTGGGCAAATAAAGTCCTTGGCAGTTACAGATGCATCTTTATTAATGAATAGTGTGCTATCTGGGATTTACTTTAAAATGCTTCAGCAAGTAAAGGGGTGGGTTGGATAAGAGAAGCATGATTGGCAAAATGTTGATAATTGTGGAAACTGGGAAATGATAGTTCATTATGCCTTTCTCTACCTTTGTGTATGTTTCTCTCTACCTATGTGTACGTTTCTCTCTGCCTTCTTGTATGCTTGAAAAATATCATGATACAAAGCTTTCACATTTTTTACCTTGATTGAGTTTTTGAAAAGAATACGTAGTTGACAGCATACACATTAAAGGCTGGAAGACTGCAGGCCTGCTGTCTCTGCATGGTCTCAATGAAGGGCTCTACTGGGTTTCTACCTGGTAGCTTCATTCTTAGCCCCAAGAACAACAGGGAACCTGGTTTGGCCCCAGAAGCTGCCCTAGAGAGAGGTACAGTCACATTAACAAAGGTCTGAAATGATTTAAAGACTGCCAGCTTCATTGGCCTCCAAACCAGGCTCATGTGCCCTGGGTCTTCGATCAGCTCATCTGCTCCCAGACTTGTGTTGAACACAAATCAGGTGACCCCAGGCCTGAGGCACAGGGAATAAATTACGTCTTGAACAGCTCCACCTGTGACAATCAGTTTCATTGGCGTGCCTATGAAACATAGGAAGATTGAAGTGCATGAGGTGTAACAGGCTTTTAAACTGATTTAATTATATCATTTGTTGAAAGAAACACACTTGTGTTCTTTCAAAAACCTGTGTTTTAGTAAGTGAGAATTGTAGGGCTTTAGCTTCTGATGCCAGCCAATCCCTCCTGATTTTGATACCAGATTTGGTGGCCGCTGTGGTCTGGGAATCTTATAAGAAAGGATGGAACTCTGAACGCTTGGTTAATTTCCTTCCCTCAATTCTGCTTATGGTTTGTACACCCGACAGTAGCCTGCACGCAGTTAGCATAGTCAGGTGAAAAGAGCATTGGCCTGGGAGGGAAGATAATCAAGCCTCATAGCCTTATGGGTTTATCTGCCGGCTTTATGGCTTTAGGCAACCTCCTCAGCTTCCGTAGTCTTCTTTTTCTCATCTGTCAAATGAGACTAGTAGACCAGTAATACCCAGCTCCCCCACATGGGTGTGAGGAGTTGGTGATGAACACACAGCTTGGCAGAGGAAAGGCCTTTGATAATAATGCCTGTGTCCTTTTCCTCCACCCAGAAGGATCCTGAGGGTTATTATTCACAGCCAGAGGTATCCTTAATGCTCAGTATTGTGGGACTCAGAGAAAAGGAAGCTTTTTGTGAAACAGTCTGTATTATTGGCTTACACAATTTCAAGCTCTGAGAGTAGTAAAAGCTACCGAAACATCTCTGCTGCAAACATTAGGTGGTTGTCTCTGTGAACACCACCACTGGTGCCATTTTCTGTTGTTTTTGTTGATTGAAGAGATGGCAGTGATCAATCAAATACAATAGGTAACCAAAACTCACAAGTGTTTTAAAACCAAATACAGAAAAAGACAGAATCTAAAAATTTTAAATCACTGGAACTTGTCACAAAATTACTAGAAGCCTGATTCATTGGGAAAATCAGCTCAAGCCTGTCAGGTGGCTTTAGAACTGCACCTGTACTATCTGTCACTCATCCCAAAGTGAGGCTGCAGTTGGGACCCTGAGGCCAAGATAACTTAATCGTGCTTTTATTTTGGCCTTTCACTCACTGTGGCTTGTTTTGTAGACAGCAGTTTACATGTTCCAGCCCTGGATACTGGGCTCCTTGAGGTTAAGGACCTTGTCCAGGTCATCTTGTGAGGCCGTCTTAGCCCGTTCAGGCTGCTATAACAGAATACCAAACACTGGGCAGCTTATAAACAACAGAAACTCATTTCTCATAGTTCTGGAGGCTGGGAAGTCCACGATCGAGGCACCAGCATATTTGGTCTCTGGTGAGAGCCTGTTCTCCATAGATACCACCTTCTTTCTGTGTCCTCACATGGTGGAAGGTACGAAGGAGTTCTCCAGGGTCCCTTTTATAAGGGCACTAATCTCATTCATGAGCACTTCACCCCCTTGACCTAATCGCCTCCCAAAAGCTCCACCTCCCAATACCACCACCTTGGGGGTGAGGGATCTCAACATATGAATTTGGGGGGATATAAACATTCAGACCATAACAGTGAACTTAACAGGTGCTCAATAAATTATAACAAGTCCTGTTGCTCTGCTTTCCAAGAGTAAAATAACAGTCACCTCTGGGACTAGGGAGGAATATACATGAGATTGCTTGGAAGTGCCCCCCTCCCACACATCCGTCTTATTGTTTCTGAACCTTCCCCATTTTCACTGACTTTATCCAGTTTCTGGAATACTATCAGGTCAATAAATGGCCCCATGTAAATGTTTCCCCCATCCTTTTGTGAATTGTCTCAGTTCTCTGTTTTCAGTGACTACAGCAGCAATACTCTCTGGTCTTACAGCTTTGGGGCAGGCGGCTCCAGCTTTCATTTTTCTCTCTTCTTAGTGGGGAAACAATTGATTGCAAGCTTTCCTGGTTCCAGAAAGTGACTGAGTCAGTGGAGGTGACCACAGCTTCCTTAGATAATCAGGACATCTTGGTTAATACTTGGTGTTCTTTTGGTCTGGGTAGAAAAAGACATTGTTCTTTATTAAATTCAATGAAGTTGAGCTAAACTTCAAAACAAGCTGGACTAAACTCGGCTCAGTCATTAAACTTAATGCTCTTGAGTCATTAAACTCATTCTCCACTACTTCAACTACCTTATTTCAGCTTCAGCTTGAAGATAAATGGTACTAATAAAGAGAAAATACAACAAAGACAAAGTAGTTATTCACATAATGAAGATATCTCATAAATAAGAATCCACACTGCCAAGAGGAGTGAGGGGCTTGCTGAGGGGCTTTAGTTTTGAAAACAAGAGATCCCAGAGAAGAGATGATGGTACGATTTTCTCTCTACCAAATGACGAACTCTCAGTGGAATTATTTCCTGTCACTCAATCCTTCCTTACCAAATCATCCTGTCTGTTCCACTCCATCCCATCCAGCCAAAAACCTAAACTCAGTGTTTGCCTCTAGTCTCAAGGTTACATGCCATTAATTTTCTACTGAAATGCGGTTCCTTGTGTGCTAAAAAAGGAAAATTGAATTTAGTTGGAAAACTAAATGGTAACACAGTCTGCACATCCAGGTGTTGGGGAAAGGAGGCCCCGTGGCTTGACCTGAGCAGAGCAGTAGGTCATAATCCCAGAAGCCCACACATTTTGAGGTCTGATCTGACCACTTCCTGGGGGTGCACTGAGAGGTTGCCACTGTCTGAGCTGCAACAATGAGCAAAAGTATTGGCTTGGGAACAAGTGGGGTATTATCAGGAAAGAGGATAAGAGGTAAGTCCTTGTGATCCCAACAATGGGACCCAAGTTAGGAAACTGAACTTGAAGATAAAGAAGTAATGGAAAGAAGGTCATTTGATTTGAATAAGAAACTGAACCCAGGGAGGCATACTCACTTCTTAGTGGTGTTTGCATTCAGAGTGGCTCTGATGCCAGTCCCCTCCACAGACCAGCCTTCTCCTGCTTACTGAACCATTTGCTTGGAAGGAGTCCACCTGCCTCCAGTGCGGGTGGGCTGAGCCTCATTACCCCTTAGTGAGAAATATGAGTGTATCAGTGCTCTCTTTTCTATTTCCGTTTTTCTTAGTGATATCCATTGTCCCACAGTGTGTACTCTCAGCAGCATCCCTGTGTGCATAGGCAGAAAGGAAAGAAGGTGAACACTGTGAACAGTAAGAAGCAAAGGCAAGAGAAACATTTTACATTTTATGAGCCATAATATCCAGTACCTCTGTTGTCATTCCAAAAGCACGTAGTATGTATTTGACAAATTTTATTTAAAGGATGGGAAAATCTTGGGCAAACTTCTCATTTGTACACATGCTGGCATCTACTGTTTCTCTGCCTGGAACATAAACACACACACACACACACACCCATCACCCCCAACCTTACCAGCACTCACATACACCCTTTTCCTTACTGCCTAACTCCTCTTTGGCTTTCAGGCCTCCCTGGGTAATCTTCCCAGAGCCCCAAGTCTGAGATGGATTCCCCTCTTAGCAGCTCCCAGAGAACCCTGTACTTCTCCAGTACGCTTAGCACACAATACTGTGACCATATCACTGGACTAGAGCTCCGTGAGTGCAGAGACCAGATCTGTCCTTCCCACAGTTCTATCTTCAGTTCAATAAGTGTTTGTAAACTAAATGAATTCTGATGAATCTGTATAAGCCTTTTCTTTGTAAGAGCCTTTGCTTATCTCTCTGAACAAGGTCTGTTGAATACAGTTGTTCAGGTTGTGTACTGTACAAGGACATCTAGCAAAGAGTTTGAGAAGGGAGGTTACAATTCTGCCTACATTCTCAACACCAAGCCATTTTTTGCTGGCTGTAACCACCCACAGAAAAAGGTGGCTTTTTTTCTCATTCGCACAATAGCACCACATGGGCTTTCAGTTGCCCAACTCTGAACAAAAACTAGTTTGTTCAAAAGGAGATGGGAATTCTCCAGCTCTTTTCTAGGAAGGCTAGGACCGAGTGACTTATGAAGCTTTCTTTAGGTCCTCTGCCTGCCATCACAGCCAAGTTCCAGACCCCATTCACAGCAAAGGCCTCTCTCACCCTTCTCTCCTCTGATTTTTGTCTCCTGCAGGATTTGGGATGACAACTCCAGCGACAGTAGGAGGAAAGATCTTCCTGATCTTTTACGGCCTCATTGGCTGCTCAAGCACCATCTTGTTCTTCAACCTCTTCCTGGAGCGCCTGATCACCGTCATCGCCTACATCATGAAATCGTGCCACCAGCGGCAGCTCCGGAGACGAGGGGCCCTGCCCCAGGAGAACCTAAAGGACCCGAGAAAGTGTGAGGCCGACAGCCTGGCTGGCTGGAAGCCGTCCGTGTACTATGTCATGCTGATCCTGTGCACGGCCTCCGTCCTCATCTCCTGCTCTGCCTCGGCCATGTACACCCCCATCGAAGGGTGGAGCTACTTTGACTCGCTCTACTTCTGTTTTGTGGCTTTCAGCACCATCGGCTTCGGGGACCTTGTCAGCAGCCAGAACATCCAGTACGAGAGCCAAGGCCTCTATCGCTTCGCCAACTTTGTCTTCATCCTCATGGGTGTCTGCTGCATCTACTCCTTGTTCAACATCATCTCCATCCTTATCAAACAGTCCGTGAACTGGATCCTGAGGAAGATGGATGGCAGGTGCTGCCGACAGTGCCAAAGGAGACTCTGGCCGTCCCGGAGGAACGCGGTGATGCCAGGCAACGTCCAGAAGCAGGGCAACATCTCCATAGAAACGGATGGGGTGGTGGAGAGTGACACGGACGGGCGCCGTCTCTCGGGGGAGATGATCTCCATGAAGGACTTCTTGGCAGCCAACAAGGTCTCGCTAGCCATCCTCCAGAAGCAGCTGTCGGAAACGGCCAATGGCTGTCCCCACCAGGCCAGCTCCCGGGAGGATGAGTTCTCCGCGGGGGTAGGAGCCTTTGCAATAATGAACAACAGGTTGGCAGAGACGAGTGGGGACAGGTAGACACGAGGAGCAGATGCCGGGCCTGGAGGCCTGGAGCAGAGTGGAGGATGAAGAACCAGCATCCAAAGGACAAGCTCAGCTCCGCGCCCGGCTGGGTTCATTCTGGAGCTGGTCCTGTTAGTCTCCTCAAGCCCAGCTTTAGAAATCTAATCTTGGCTCCAGCCAACAGCCACCTTCCAGGGCTGGGGGAACCAGAAGCCACAAGGCCTTTCTCTTTATCTTTATTCCTTAAGTTTAAATTCAGTCTTTTAAAAATGAATCATGAAAGCAGCAGCAGACATGGCATTGTTTCTAGACTGGTGTTGCTTCAGCATTTTAACTGCCTAAGGCAGAGAGAAAGGTTTCACTTAAGCCTTGATTCCCTGCTGCTCTATTCTTCATTTGGAAATGAAAATCCCGAGGACCCTCATTTTTCCCTGGAACTCTGAATGGCTGAAGTAAAAAAGGGGGGCGGGTGAGGTGTTCATGAATGTGTCTGGGCTTTCTTTTTATCAGGCTTCTTTCAGAGCGGATTCGTCAGTGGTGCCATGAAAAGGAAAGTATCTGTTCTACTCTGTACCTGCTTCTCTGGTTTTTGTTTTCCCTTTCTTTTAAGATCTTAATGCCTGACTAAGCTGTCTGTGGGACCTCAATGTGATAAGAAAACTAAACTCAACTTCAGGCCTTTAAACTGCAGCAAGGACGTGGGGGAGGGTGGGGGAGGGGAGAGGCTCCTTTTGTAACTAAAGAGCGTAGCTTAACATTTTCTCTTCGAATGGTCACATAGACCATTTCATTTCTACCAGGGCTTAGGGCCCATTGCAAAGATAAGGACTATTTATTAGAACTGAAAACTTAATAAATCCTTATTAATTAAGATTCCATGAGTGATCATTATGGACAGTGGAAGGCAAGCACCTAATTAAACAGGCATTGATTGCCCTCAGAGAAAAAGGAAATGAGAAATTGACCTTTAGGGATGTGAACATCATCTTGGAGTCTTGACTGGAGGAATGTTCTAGGCCAGATAATGAAATTTGGCCTTTTTTTTTCTAGTCCATTTCTGACTTCTGGGGCTGTAACAAATCTAGATACACAGCTTCCCATGCAGCTGAAACTTCCATACTAGAACGAAGTCTGTTGACCTTCTTTGTATATGTAAGAAAGTACATTTGGGGGGATGACAGCAGCACTGTGAACATCATCTTGGAGTCTTGACTGGAGGAATGTTCTAGGCCAGATAATGAAATTTGGCTTTTTTTTTCTAGTCCATTTCTGACTTCTGGGGCTGTAACAAGTCTAGATACACAGCTTCCCATGCAGCTGAAACTTCCATACTAGAACGAAGTCTGTTGATCTTCTTTGTATATGTAAGAAAGTACATTTGGGGGGATGACAGCAGCATTAAAAGAGATAGCTGTTGTTTCTATAAGATGAGACTGGTGTGTACACACAGAACTTTCAGAAATGAGGAGAGACAGACCCCATAAAGAAGCCCAAAACTTGTCTCTAGCAAAACAGAAATGTTGGGCAGAGGACATCAGAACTGGAGGGACTCTTAGGAGCCATCTCCTGCAACCTCCTTGTTTTTGACACAAGGCAACAGAGGCACAAGGATCGCTCCTTGTCTGAGGTCTTGGGGCTGGATGGTACACAGCCAGGGGAAGAACCCGGGTCTCCTGATGCTGAGGTTGGGGCTCTTGGCCCCTACACCACACAGCCATTGAACCCTCCCTCAACAGGTCCCTCTTCAGGCTGAGTTGCCTTTTCTTCCAGCTGGCAAACCCAAACATTTTCTTTAAAATACCAGAAGTGCCTGACAGTAGAAGTCCAATAAGCAGCTACACTGGGTTTTGAACTTAGAGCTGCCCAGCTCCAAAGTCAGAGATTTTGAACTATTACCTATACCATTTTTAGAGGGAAAGCATCCTGGAGCTACTGCAAAACGCTTGTTAGGAATCTCTGACCACAAACAGAGCTCCTCGTGGGCTCTACACTGTACTAGGTGCTGCAGGCATGGGGAGAGGAGCTGGGTCCCGGCCCTTGGGGAATTTCTTCATCTCCATATTCCTGGTACCTGGACTGATATAAAGCAAGTCCTTGAATCTCCAACACAAGTCCCTGGAGACCTGGGAGTTGTGCCAGGAAGCCAAGGAGCATCAGTATAAGCAAGGCACATCTTCCTAGAGGGTCAGTTTTGCTAAATAATTTTTCCAGAGAGATGTTATGTTGAAACACATGGCTTTCTTTAAGAAGGATCCAAAATTGGCATAAACTTTTAAGTTAAATATGAAAAACAAATTTGGGGCTTTTGTCTTGAGGAGTCACCTCAGGGTCTCCGAGGAGTTTGTTCTCCTCTGGGTTAGGGGTTTCCTGGGGGAAACATTTGAGAACAAGTGTAAGGGGACAAGTATAGTACATTTATGTTGAGTGGATGGATGGACAGATGGATGGATGGATGGATGGATGGATGGTTGGATGGAAGAATGGATGGATGGTTGGATGGACGGCAGTAACATATGCAAAAACTTTTGCAAAACTGGAATT